TTGTATGAAATGTTGAATTTTGGCAGGATAAAGTCAAAACATTATATTTTAACCAAGAAAAATACTGTCATTAAAATATATATTTGCAATTACTATAAAAGATCCCTTACAATTAATATGTAAGGATACATTTCCAAAAATGAGTCATCATTGTGGAGATTAAATATTGATGAGCCTTCCTCAAAATGGCCCAATTTCAGATTTTCTCTCAATTTTTTTTGTATTTTCCTTTTGCAGACAAATGATAATGTCAAACTGTAAAGCTGGCAGAAAAAGCTGAGATGATTGTTTGCCCTAATTTTTATGAATTGGTTCTCATTGATCACATTTGTGGGTTTTCATCAAGTCTCATTTTGAATACTGTCATCTCCAGATTGAACTTTTTGAAACCATTGTTGTATTGTAACTCTGAAAACATGCTTGTAGGTTTTTGGTATCTGATTAGAAATGCATTATACATGAGATTGTGAATATTTCCATTTTATTAATATTTGTCAATGTTCAGAGAATCATTTGACTTGTGAATGAGCATTAAAACATTAACTAATTCAGTAAAAACTGTTATTAATTAAAAATCAGATTACAGAGTCTTTGACATGACAGAGTTCCATTCCTACAATGTGTTGTAACATGATTTTCCATTTAAGATGGAACATACGTTTTTCCACGAATAAACACTTACATCCAGTGACATGCAGAAGTTTGGTATGTTTGGTGATGCTCAAGGCCAACTCCTTGATTGTATGCCACTAAGACTTGAGTGTGTGTGTGTGTGGGGGGGGGCCTATAAGGCCTAGTACTGAGAAATGTGATAAAGGATGACATCTGAAATATGTAAAAACAGATGAAACATGAAATAAACACCTTATTCAAATTAAATATAAGCTAAATTCTTATTTCACTCTCATTGGATGTCTAATTTCACTTCCATGGATGTGTCTTTCATTTTCTTCACAGCACCACCATCAGAAGAGGTTGCTCTATGCTGGTGAACCATAATGAGGGGCAGTAAGTTTCCACAAACACTACACAAACAAAACTCCAATGTTTTATATATATATATATATATATATATATATATATATATATATATATAAACCATGGAATATTAGTGTTTAAGCCTTTTTATTATATCCTTACTCTGTCCTGGACATTGAGTTCTACCTGGATTCTATCCTCTTGAATTTTTTATACAAAATATATATGTATGTGTATCCATGTATGTATATATATTTATATATTTTGCATATGTATGTGTATATTTACCACTGATATTATCTCTCTCTCTCTCCCTCTCTCTCTCTCTCTCTATATATATATATATATATATATATACATATATGTTTGTTTATTATTCACATCTCTGTTCATATGTCAGATTGTTGTAGGTTGGGACTTTCATAAGCTGGGGCTTATTGTATATACATATATAGACACGAGGATGGACATGCAGCATAGTGTGGACATGCAGCATAGTGTCTAATGTTGTGAAAAGTAGGATTGGTGTATCAAGTTCAAATTCTAATTGAGTCTGTGTGTTCACGATCACGAATCTTGTGAGCCATCAGGACTGTAGAGCACCACATGTACTGCAACTACAAAAAAGTGGTGTTTCTTGGGCAAGATAACCTGACGGAGCCCAGCCCTCTTCAGACTAGTTTGGGATTTAGAGTTACCTTCTCCTAGACCGGTTGCCACCCAAGGCTATAGAACCCAGCTTGTTGTGTTCACTTTTGCAGAAATACTCTTGGGAAAGCTATGAATCCATCTCTCCTCCCTCCAGCTAGGTGTTAATAGCAGATTGGACTGGATTCATTAGTCATGGCTGTATACCAGTCTAGAATAAAACCAACACTGAATTCAGAACCAGCTGGACATAGAACTGGCAACTCTACTTTGTAAAAACCTACTTCTATGAATAGTGTTCAGACAAACTCCATTCCTTAGTTCCACCAGTTCTAATCTTCACGGCTAAGACCTGCCATGCCACACACATTCTAGTGAACCACCCATATACCTTTCTTATTCTATTGGTGAGATGTAAGATTCTTTCCACAAACCGATTCCCAAGTAGATGTTTCCCAATCCCTACAATCTTAACCTGTTCAGTTCTAGAGTTAACTCTTACCTTGCCCACATATAAACCATGCCTTTTAATCTGTAACACTATCTCGAGTTGCTCTTGGGCCTTATACAGGATGAACATCATTGTTAAAAAAAAAGGCAGCAGTGTTTAGCATGGTGAGACTATGGCCCTATGCTCCACAATGGAGTCAACTTATACCATCATCATATTACACATTATATTTCTTTTTATATATACCATCATCATTATTATACCATCATCATATTATACATTGTATTTTTTTTTATACATCATCATTATTATACATATTATACATTGTATTTCTTTTTATATATACCATCATCATTCTTATACCATCATCATATTATACATTGTATTTCTTTTTATATATACCATCATCATTATTATACCATCATCATATTATACATTGTATTTCTTTTATTTTTCATTATATACCATCATCATATTATACATTGTATTTCTTTTTTATATATACCATCATCATTCTTATCATCATTACATTGTTCTTTTTATATATACCATCATCATTCTTATACCATCATCATATTATACATTGTATTTCTTTTTATATATACCATCATCATTCTTATACCATCATCATATTATACATTGTATTTCTTTTTATATATACCATCATCATTATTATACCATCATCATATTACACATTGTATTTCTTTTTATATACATTACTAGAAAATGTTTATTAGAATCAAAAATCAAAATGGAGCTTTGTATTCTATATAACATATTATATTATAATAAATCTATTTATCATTAACGAAGCAGCTGGTGAATATTTATTTCTCATTAAAACTGTCAACTTTTACTCCCTTTTAAAGATATCTATATTTAGGGTTGATACTTCTTTTTTAATATTCTGTGTCCCTACAGGATGAGGGAGGCACAGTGGAGTAATAGATAGCAGCTCAGATTGAGAAATTGGAGAGCCAATTCAAATTCCAGTCAAATCTATTACATTCACTTACGTGCTTGGGAAAGGTGTGAATCCTCTTCTTTTCTCTCCAGCTATGGGTAAATAGCCGGAAAGACTGGGTTCTATAGCTTTGGATGGCAACTGGTCTACCACAGAAAGAAATGGCAACCTACTGTGAGAAAAAATCTGCCTCGTCAGTCATATATCAAAAGATATATGATCGTCTCAGTGTGTATCACACATGGCACATGACTGACAGGATGTGGGCAATCATGTCACTCCACAACTTCCTATCCTTTATAACTTTAAGCAATATTTGCCCCCTTTAATATCCCTCCCAGTTTTTGTTTTACACAAGCTCATTAGGTAGATTACTTGATATGTTTCTCTGTCTCTCATGTCTTCAATATGTCCTTTAAGTTTCAAGTTCTCTAAGTTGCTCTTCAGGAGTCCCAGAAATTTCAACTCTTTCTTTCTGATTTTAAGTATGTGTCCTTTTTGTTTCCATTTTCTTTAAGTCTTCCTCATTGCTCACATGTTCTATCCATGTTATTCTCAGCATCCTTCTGTAAAATCACATTTTTGTTGCCTTGTCTCCTCTTCATCTGTGAGGAAATTGTCCAGAATTATTTACGATATAGATGGATTGATATATATGTAACTGTTGAGTACCCTTATCTTTTTTCCAGTTAAATTTTCCTGTTATTTTAATGCTTAAATGGTAAAAGATAAAGGGTTGTGTAACCTGTAAACAGGCCATTACATAGAGCAATATTATATATTGGGTACAGATCATATAATACATGAAAATAAAAATATTCATATTTTATTACAAACAAAAATAGCAGAAGACATTATAATTATTGAATTATGTCACCTAATAAGAAAAAAAAACTTGGTTTTAAATGGGTGGAACACTGGTCTAGAAATTTCTTACAAAAAAGATTTTGAGTAATTACAAAGATTTGTAAAATGTATATTCTATATTTAGAATTGAGATCAAATATGAAGTAGAATCCAACAGTATGATAAGATAAAAACAAATAAGAAACGTTTATATATATATATATATATATATATATATATGTGTGTGTGTGTGTGTGTGTGTATACCAGTCAGGTATGTGCCATGCCTGATACATGCTTAGGTGATCATGTATCTTTTGACACATGACTGACGAGGTAGATTTTTCCCACAGTAGGTTGCCATTTTCTTTCTGCGATAGACCAGTTACCATCCAAGGCTATAGAACTCTGTCTATCCTGCAATTTACCATAGCTGGGGGGAAAAGAAGAGGACTCACATTTTTTTCAAGGGTATTAGCACGTAAGTGAATGTAATGGATTTGACTGTAATTTGAACTTAGCACTCTGATTCCTCAATCCAAGATGTTATCCATTACTCCACCATGCCTCCCATCCATATATATATATATATATATATATATATATATATATATATATATATATATATATATATATATATATATATATATATATATATATATATATATATATATATATATATATATATATATATATATGAATTGGACTCTAATATGGATAAGAATACAACAGAATGATAGGATAAAAAAATAAATAGAAACATTTAAAAATTTAATAGGTTTCACTTTTTATCTAAGTTTCATCAGAAAATGAAATATGGAGAAGAAAAGAAACAATAAAAATCAAGATGGTTGCAGTCTGAAGAGTTATGTGACCAGATATAAGAGATGATATGGTTGCAGAAATTGTCAGACAGCCATGACTGGGTTCTCCTGGTTGCGTCACATGTTGCAGAGTCTTGTTGCCTGACACTGGGTCTTCCAACCATCACTCTCTTGAGCAAGAGTGGCACTTCCTCCTCAAAACACTTGATGTAGGCCTACGTGTTGAGTTTGAGGCCCTGTAAATAGAGGAATGGAGGCATCGAAATGATCAGAGTGAGTTTTCCAAGCTGCCGTACCTTTGTAATCACCATTAGACACACCCAAGTCTTTCCGATTGATCTGCATTCTCCTCAGCTTGACACCCAAACACTCTGAATTATTTGTATTGGCACTTGGGGCATGAATGCCAAGCAGTACAGCATGCCATTTCTAAATTTCTGGCAGAGTGAATTGTATCATGGTGCTATTTTTTCCACAGATGGTGTCCAACTGACCCTACTATATTGTTCAGTTGACAAAATCACAAAGAAACAGCACGCATGTGCAAAAATAAAAATATAAAACGGCGACAATTTACCCATCGCACCTTGTATGTATAAATTTTTACAGTGAAAAATTTTTTTTTTTTTGTCTATTCAATCATTCATTTTGAAAAGTGAGCTGTAAACATTTGCTAATAAAATCATTCATAATAAAATCATTCTTTTGCTTCTTTTATACGGAGGAAAACAACACTTAAGCTACCGAGCAATTTTGAGTCAATGGATAATGGAACAATGATTAGGGGAGATAACAAAAAGGCAAAATTTATTAAGAGCTATAAAAGACAGGAAACTGTGGAGAGACATGATCCCCTATGTCCTGATGGGATGTGACACATAGAAGAAGTTCAGTGATTCCAACATTTTTTGGCAGTGAACTAATATCTCATCTAAAAAATGATAATTTTTGAAAAAAGTAATTTTTTCATAGTGAAGACACATAATGAGGAAAGAGGGCTTAGAAAATTTCATACTCACAAGGCATATTAAATGCAAAAGGGACAAAGGAAAACTGATTAACCTAGCAAACGAGATTGTGTTGGCACAACAGGGGTTAGGAGAGATAAAGAGAAAATTTAATACAAACTAAAAAAACAGTAAATTAGGGAAAGTCATGATCATCAACGTCCTGAATAGACACGAAACGTAGAAGAAGAAGAAGAAGAAGAAGAAGAAGAAGAAGAAGAAGAAGAAGAAACTTGTGTAAATGGTTGGCTGAACAGGGTTTAGAGTAGATAGCAAAAAGACAAAATTTACTAAAATCTACAAAGGACAGGAAATTGTGGAGAGCCTTGATTGTCAAAGTCCTGAAGGGACACGACACATAGAAGAAGAAGAAGAAGACGAAGAAGAAGAAGAAGAAGAAGAAGAAGAAGAAGAAGAAACTTGTGTAAATGGTTGTCAGAATAGAGTTTAGTGGAGATAGCAAAAAGACAAAATTTACTAAGATCTACAAAGGACAGGAAATTGTGGAGAGCTATGATCACCAATGTCCTGAATGGATACGGTACATCGAAGAAGAGAAGTCATTATTTAATTATTTTTAAGATATTCTTTCATCTGTTATAACAAGAGAAATATTTTTTCAAAAACTAATCATTCTTTTTGGTCTTTTTTTAAATAATATTATTTTGCTCCAAATGAACAAAAAAAAAAAAAAATGAGTATTTTTTTTCATCTTTCTTTTAAACTGATTCTTCCTATTTCCTTTTCGTTGTTCCTTCCTTCCCTAAATCCTTACTTCCTGCTACAACATTAAACCCACCTCCACATCCTAGCAACTGCCTCCCACAATTCCCTTCTCCTGTATTCCAAACCTCTCTGTCCTCCTCTTCTTTCCACCACAACCACCACCTCGGCCAGCCCCTACTCTGCATCTCCAATGTGAATGCTGTCATCATCACTCTCTCTCAGATGTGGAATGCCGGAGCCCCTTATTTGTGAGTAGGCATCTCTTTGTCAGCAAGCTAGTCACCGACGTTAAAGTGGAGCAACTGGGAAGCAAAGAGAAAGCTGTGGGTAGTGGGTGGAATCTGAAAGGAGAGATATTAGTGACAATGGCAGGAGGTAGGAGTTGGCTCGTTCTTATAATCGTCACCGTGGATTATCATCTTGCGGTTTGTGGATCCATCAGCCATTGAGAAAGTGCAATGGGACACAGAAGACAGTTATATTCCTTGTTTCAGTCCATCCTCCTATACCCTCCCCAAACTTAACCCCCACACGCTCGGAACCCACCGCCCGGCCACACGTGGCCACAATCTGGATCAACGACATCGGACGAAAACAAGAAATGACCGCTAAGTGTCGTCCTATAATGAGACACACGGCTTAATACGGGACCTTTCCACAGGCAGCTGTCGTGGCTACGGTGTGCAATGATGTATCGCGGGCGGTGGGGACAACTGGTACTGGGCTGGGGGAAGAGAAAGACACTAGCCGCTCCTTGCTTCTTGAACGATCATCGTATAACCACCATTCAGCCAATTGAACCATTCATAAAAGAGGATTATCAGTTTTTGCTGTTTCTCTTTTTTTTTTCTTTTTTGGTTTGTTGGAATGAAAGAAGATTTAAGATGAGGTCGTATAGACTGTCAAGGCAACGAAAAGTTACTCCATGATACGTTAGAACGGGTATCTTCATCTTTGTTCTTTTTAGTACAGCTTTGTTTTTTTTAGTTCTTCTCCAGATGAATCTTCTTATACATAGCAGGAAATTCTTGAAACTCTTTCAATAATTTCGCCAACTTCTTCCATCATTCTGGAGGTGCAGCTGGCTTAATGATTTTTGGCACCAAGAATGAAATTGGTGAACAAGCTCCAAACTCCGGCTGGAACAATTTTGCACTGTCTCTGGTAAAAGCGTGAATCTGTGTTATTCAAAATTTAATAACTAAAATAGCTTGCAGAGAAAAAATTCAGAGGCATATCAAAAAGCCACACAAAAGAGAATTAACACACACACACACACACACACACACACACACACACACACACACACACACACACACACACAAATATATATATATATATATATATATATATATATATATTAGCGTGAAACCCAGGGTCACAAAATCCCATAAATCCAACTATAATATATATATATATATATATATATATATATATATATATATATATATATATATATATATATGCAATTTTTATATATATTATTTATATATTATATATGCGCGGTACTTATTAGAAAGCACTCAATATCAGTGATAGAGCTAAAATATTTAGTTGGATTGATGTGAGTTTGTGATCCGGGGTTTCACGTTATTTGCGATCGTCAGACTAACTAAGTTTGTCTGTCGATCGCAAATAGCGTGAAATAAGTACCGAGCATATATAATATATAAATATTATATAAAAATTGCATATATATATATATATATATATATATATATATATATACGTATGTGTAATGTTCCATTCGACCTTGCATTGAATACTCTTGCCATATATGATCTCGTGCTCTCGCTGTTCATCTCGAGGTTCTCGACAAAAACCAAAGACAGATATGCAATGTGATAGATCTTGACCTGGCATCTTGACTCCAGTCACTTACTCACAGACATGATGTGGCTTCCCTTTGTCTTTTCTACAAATATTTTCAAGGCAACTGTTCTAATGAGCTATTTTCACTTGTGCTCCAACTGCATGATTTTATGCGTGTTACTAGATTGACATCTCGGTCCCCTCCCCTTTCACTATCAAAACAGTTAAATGTAACCGCCTCTTCTACTCCAACTGCTTCTTCTCTCGCACTTCCCGACAGTGGAACTCTTTTCCTCTTACTTGATTCCCTGATAGCTATAATCTTCACATATTCAAACGTAATGTCAATCGACATCGTCTGATGTCTTGGTCTTAATCCTCGTCCTTCTTTTTATCCTTTCCTCAAACACCCCTCTTTACTCTTACTTTCACTCTCTGTAGCCCCTTGCGTGCTAGTGGCACTCCTGCCTTGCTTGTGGTGATATTCTTTTAAAAACAATGGATATATGTATATTTAGGCAGCATATTTCCATTCAAGCGTATTATGTCCATTTTAGTTTTGATCCTTTCAAGTCCACGAATTAATTTCTTGGTGGCTGTAGAAAATAGGTCAAGAAAGATTCCAAAAATTTTTTCTTCAAATAATTTTTATTTTCCCAAGTACTTTTAATCTCACCTGAGACCATCTTCATATATATATATATATATATGTATGATTTGGATAAATTAAACGATCAGATATAAGCAACTGTATACGCGCGTGTTAGACAGGCAAATAAATAATCATCAGATTTATTCATGAGGTGTAAACATAACAGTGCCTGATGTGGTTAGACATAGCAATATATATATATATATATATATATATATATATATATATATATATATATATATATATATATATAATATGCGCGCGTGTGTGTGTGTGTGTGTAAGAAGAATACTCAGATACTCCCTTGCTGAAATCTAAAAAAAAATTAGGACTGGAAATCTTACTTATCAATCAAGCATTGTAATTTTGAAGAAAAATACATTGCCTTCATTTCGATACCAGTTTCATTATTCTATCCGGTCTAAAACATATTTTGTGAGATTGGAGACCTTACCTATCAATCAACCCTCGTCATTTTGACGATAATTAACCTTTGAGCCCTGACCACCGCTTTCCCGGTGATAGAGAAAAATGACTCAATGCCCATCCACCGGTTGAACGGTGAGTAAACACTTGTAACTATTTTTATATCTACCGTGAAATATTACATAACAGTTATTTGCGAATTTTGACCGGGGAGCTCAGGTAGAGAAGGATTAAATTGTTCAGGAACGCAAGGCTCAAATGGTTAAAGAAGCCTGAAGATTGTGAGACAGCCGCATAGCTTTCCAGGCGTCCACATGAAACTTACGTCACGGAAAAGCAGTAATATATCAGTATTGTAGCGTCCTTGTTTGTTTTATTATTCAATATATATATATATATATATATATATATATATATATATATATATATATATATATATATAAGGCAAATGTGTGTGTGTGTGTAACGAATGCACGGCCGCAATTTTCGACGGATTTGCACCAAAATTTACATGTACATGGTCCAAGTTAGTGGAAAGGTCAAGACCCACATTGCCTTTCCCAACTCCTACCGATAGTGGAAATAATCGACTTTGTCATGCTTCTTCGGCAGTTTTCATGTAGTTTGCGGCCATTTTGTACTGGCCAGAGGGAGAGCCTATAGCTGGCTGCCACGAATAGGCAGGAAAATTGTATTGGCCAGCGTGAGAGCCAACAGCTGACTGACACAAATGTTAACTAGCATGCTAGCATGCAAAAAAAATCGATAGCTGCATTTGTCACAAGTGGAAAAATTTAAATCTGCATGGCACTTTACTCCAAATGGCTCATTCGCTTGCTTAAACTCAACGTTGATTCTGATTCTGCAGAACTGGTTTGGGTGTGAAATAGTATTTGTTGTTAACATTCTTTTTTCATTCGGTTTTTTTCAGTTACGAGTCCTTTTTTAAAGCTGATCGTTTTGTGTTCATTTTGTTTAGTTCTTTTTTCGTAACAGATTTAATGTTTAGTATAGAGTTTAGAAAAATTCGCAGTGTGAGATAGGCAAGAAGTAAGGCATGTAGCAACATCAGCACGGCAAAGGGCACTCCTTTAAAGGCAAGGAAGGGCAAAAATATTTTAAGTCAAGTGATAGCGATTGCTGTATGAGTCGTACGATTTTTGAATCAAGCACGGGCAACGCCGGGCCATGCTGCTAGTGTATATATATATATATATATATATATATATATATATATATATATATATACGCACACATGTATGTGTGTGCGTGTGTTGAATTGAATGTGACAGACAAGGAAAATATAAGATTGTTTTTTATACTAGTAATATAGCACAAAATATTATGACTACATCTTTTTACTGCAACCAGATGCACAAAAATTATATATAATATGAATTTGCCACGTGACGCATCATTAAACAATACATTTCACCCGTTGACCCCAGCAGATGTGTAAAACTTTCAATATACTATAGATAATTAAAAACAACCAACCTTATAATTACCAATAACAAGACGCTTATCAACATCTGTCTATAATTCTGAGATGAGGTATTGTAACTATTTACATTGTTGGGACTGTTGTCCACATGTATACTGTCACATTCACGACGTTTCGGCCGTTGTAACCCTCCGGCCTTCTTCAGGTGATATTTGTTGGAATTTCGAACTGTACCCTTTATTTGTTCGTTGTAGTGTAATGGATATTGGCTCGGAGTGAGAACTCGGAGAGCCGAGTTCGAATTCCAGTCGAGTTCGTTAGATCCACTTACGCACAAATACCCTTAGGAAAGGTGTGAATCCATCTCTTCTCTTCTCTATGGGTTGAATAGGACAGATTGGGTTCTTTAGTCTTGGTTGTCAACCAGTCTACAGCAGAAAGAAATAGCAACCTACTGCGGGAAAAATCTGCCTCGTCAGTCATTTATCAAAAGGTACAAGATCGCCCAGGCGCGTCTCACGTATGACACTTTATTTAATCCACGAAGGTAGAGTGTTCTAATTGCACGTACTATGCCTTTGGATATCTCAGTCTTATTTAATTCGCCTTGATATCTTTCCAAGTTTTTATTCTCTCCGCTGCGGCTAGGGATTGAACTAACAACTCTTTGAATCTTTGGATCAATGTCTGAGTGTGACAGTAAAGATGATGGCAACAGTCAGAACAATATAAATAGTGTAAACACGATTACCAGTTCCAAACATCCGACCACCAATGTAGTTTATAAATTTCGTTGCCCCGTATAAGACAGCGATTCTTGTAATAGATTGATTAACTACATAGGATATATGTCGGCCTTGAGTAAGTCGAAGATTGACAAACCACTTAAATAATATCAGTGCCATAAAAGGAACGTAAAGATCCACGCACAACTACCTACCTTCATTATAAAAAAAAGTTTTGTATATAACACTATCATTCAAAGAAAATCTTGTTTTAAGATAATGGAAGCTCTTTATATAAAACGGTTTAAAGCAAATCTTAGCCTTACCCTATTTAACAACGGTAGTAACGTGTTGGCTGTCTTTTAAAGAAACACACAACATGGAGTTACAACTAGTACCTTTCTTCTAACACAGCTTACAATTTCTACTACTTCTGTATAATAAAACTTAGGACATAAACACAGCAAAACATACAAACAACAAACCTCTTGAAAATGGGTAACAAGTTGGCTGAAAGCAGTTAGGAAAATAATCATTACGGGCATTTTGTTAATCAATTCAACTCAGAAGCAAGGTGGCTACTAGAGGTGAAAAAGAATAAGAATTCAGAAGAAAACGGAAACCCAATCCTAAACAAAAAAACGATGGATAAACTTTTATTCCTCTTCTAAAGACCAGGGAGGAGTGCATCATTCTCTTACCTCACCTGCAAAAGGAAATCTTTGAGGACATCAGAAAAACTGAA